GGAAGGATTGGAATAAAAACACAGGAAGGTCACTTATATAACTGACTAAAATATTGATACTATTTGTGTGTTTTTGTACCATATATTGCTGTGTCAAAGACGAGTTTTACGTACCTAGATTTAGGGGGCTTCCAAAGCGGGGCTTTTAATACACAGGGTGGAAGAGTTTTGACGGGGTTTTTCCCCAAAACACAAAGACATTACTGTGCGCACGTAACACTGAAAATACCATTTCAACAAATTCATACTGATGTGCAAATTAATCATGTAATTACACTGTCTGGTTATAAAATGTGTTTATTGTATATCTGGACTTATGTTTGTAATCTATTTTATTAATTTTAGTCGAAATATCATAAAATCATTTTATCAAAAAGTAAGGAAAAAATGTGTGGGCTGAGTGCCAATGACAGAAACAGTTAAATCGTTTGTTCGTTTGTTGTTTAACGCTGCACTCAGCAGTATTCCAGCTATATGACGGCGGCCTGTAAATAATCAAATCTGGACCAGACAATCCAGTGATGAAGACTATGAGCATCGATCCACGCAATTGGAATACGATAACATGGATCAACCAAGTCAGCGAGCCTGACCACCCCATCCCGTTAGTCGCCTCTTACGACAAGCATAGTCGCCTCTTACGACAAGCATAGTCGCCTCTTACGACAAGCATAGTCGCCTCTTACGAAAAGCATAGTCGCCTCTTACGACAAGCATAGTCGCCTCTTACGACAAGCATAGTCGCTTACACACTGACACACAGTAGTGGTGTCTTATTCCCCTAAAACAAAATGCCCCAGCAATACAAGTCAAACAGCATCCAAGCACTTTAACATGGAACGACAAACAACGGTACAAAATATATCATTAGTCTACCAAATTGCATCCCTTGAAATCTGTCAAATATCTACAAATGGAGACTGATGTATAAAAATAACAACTAAGTATCATACAAGGATTATGAAAATATGAATCTTTGTGAGATATGAAACCACAGGTACACGTTGACAGTAAAGTGGTTGCCATGGTAACATACAAAAATAGAGATAAGGCTCGTTAGAATCAGGGCATGTGAGGATTTAATCACTTAAAGGCCTTTTCAGCTTCAAATATGAATTATCCGTCTCTTATTTTACCATGCAGAAAGACCAATTCTTGTTTTTACGCTTTTTCTTGGTCAATATGCAACGATGTCAGGATAATTTATGAATGATTATCTTGAAAATAAAATGTGAAAAAAATGTTGGACACAAATACAAATACGACATGTCGATTTTACAAAAAGTATATCTCCAACCATAGTTATTTTACTATTATTGGGGCACATGTAAAGCAAACAAAAAGGGCTTGGTTTAAAAGGTAAAATCAATTTTTACGACATTGTAAATACCTTCACAGACAACACATGTCATCATTGCATGCAGATCTGTTGCATCAGATCTATGCTATAAAAAAAAGAAAAGAAAAAGATCTTTGCTTCCAAGATAATTCTTCACTAAATAGATAAATTCTTCAGAGAAACATCAAGGAATGGAGAGTCAGCAAAGCCAATAAGAAACATGTTTCCTTATTTCAAAATCAAGCATTGTTCAATGTTTTGACAAAGACATTCAGGGATTTAAATTGAACCTCTGCCATTTACATGTTCAATGGTGAACTTAACATTGTTTAAAAAAATAATTTGTCATGTACAGTCAAACCCTGTTATCTTGAACCTAACAGGATTGTCTTAAAATTTGAGAGATCTCCGACAATTCAAGATAACAAGGCATGAGTGAGTGAGTGAGTATGGTTTTACGCCGCTTTTAGCAATATTCCAGCAATATCACGGCGGGGGACACCAGAAATGGGCTTCACACATTGTACCCATGTCGGGAATCGAACCCGGGTCCTCGGCGTGACGAGCGAACGCTTTAACCACTAGGCTACCCGACCGCCCCAACAAGGCATGAACATCCAGACAGATCAAGTAACAGTATTATGGATACATAGCAATTCCTTGCATTAAGAGTGAGTGAGTATGATTTTACGCCGCTTTTAGCAATATTCCTACAATATCACGGCTGGGGACACCACAAATGGGCTTCACACATTGTACCCATGTGGGTAATCGAACCCAGGTCTTCGGCGTGACGAGCGAACGCTTTAACCTCTACCCACTGCCCCCCCCTGCATTAAGAACACATCACATGCATGTGATGATAAATTGAAATGTTTTTCACCAGCAATGATTAATAATAACTCTGACAAATAATGAACAGTGTACATTTACCTTTGGCCTAGCAATCACTATTTAGTCTGTCCACTTAACGAAAACAACAAAGTGCCACTCTCGCCTCAAACTTTCATTTGTCCAAAAAGATTACTGTTACAATTGGAGTGAGTGAGTGACTTGGGTTTAATGCCACTTTTAACAGTATTCAAGTTATAATGCGGCGTGTCAGCTTAATGTGGGAGGAAAGCCTGAAGTGATGCATGTTTTAGACGTTTACCACTTCGGTGAAACCCACGAGCACGGGTACGGTGCTGACAAACCTAGAAACATAATCGGGGCGAACTGGGATTCGAACCCACAATCATAGGTTTCTGGCTTGCCCAAGGGACGCAACCCTGCACAATGATCGTGGCACCTTAGACGACTAGGCCACCCGTGACCGTTACAAGTGGAGTAAAAGTACATGTACATAATAAGTTGAGCAATTAGTTTAAACTGAACTGTTCTTTTACTGCGACATTTGTGTGAGGAAAGGTACTTCTGGATATAATCCGCTTATCAAAAAGTGTTATGTGGCAAATGCCAACTTCAAGATAAAGGGACAAAATTCTATAGTAGAGTCAAAGATGGCACCAAGTGCAAGGTCCCTGATATGTTCTTTTATATCATCATAAGCTAAACATAGCATCCTAGAGAATGTAAAATATGAAAAAGAGACATTATGTTTGGGTGGTTATTTTGCAAAAATTAATAACCTGACAGGATCACGAAGTACATGATTAAGTAACAACAGAGCTCCAGATAAGCTGCGTATCTGCGTGAAATACGCATCAGAAATGCAGAAACACACAGTAAAATATAATCCATCAAATACGCAACGAACATTACAGATACGCTACAAAAATAAAACTTGTGTGTATCATCAAAATATTGTGAAGTAACCCTGCGTATTCGATTAGCAAATCAGCAACTTATTTTGAAATTATAAACGGGCATTCCGTCAACCTTGCCAAACTCCACGATGACAGTGACATCATGATCATTTGCCATCACACTTTCTTGTGGAAGTATCGTGGTATTTTTTAGTCCTATAAAGCTCTCGAACCCACACGACACCAGTTTGCAGGGACTAGATGAATAGTGTTTTTAAATATTTAATTTAAATACCCACATGTGTAAAAACTAGTGGGTAACAGAAATTTGAATACCCAGATAGAATTACTGATACCCAATGATTTTAAAATGCATGGGTAAAATACCCACAACACCAAAAGCTTATCTGGAGCTCTGAACAATGTAAAGATGACGTAAACTATCAGTTCATGAGAAGAACTCTCACATGTGGAATATCATTGCACAATACACAGTAGCTATTTACATGCCATGCCTACTACTGCAGCCACTTTCAATATTGATCAGTATGTTCTCGAAACATTATCAGCAAGGAAACAGTTTTAGTTCACTAGTCCTCAAAATAATAACAAAAAGGGCAAATTTCTATTAGTCCTCATGATACCTTAATTATTGGACAGTTTGGCAAGGACCATTGGACTAGTGCCAATTTCTAACGCTGCTAATCACAACTAACACAGGTAGTAACATGATATACATAATATTGAACTCTTGCCGATATATCAAAACATTTACAGGCACAGATGATGTTTAACTGCCAGTCAGTAAATACAAACAAGTTCTTTGATAGTATTATGCATAAACTCTGTACCACCATCAAAAGTTTGTTACTCAGCTGTGGTTGTCGGTGACATCTTCTAACAACAACATAGCACTATTTCCATCAATCTTTCAAGTATGGCTGGGACGGGTAACTCGGGTACTCGGGTCGGGTGGGTACAGAGTAGGACAAGGGTACCCACAGGACTACCCGGACCCGTGGTTAGTCACGTGATATATTGTTTAATGACAAAAATTATCTAGAACGCTATGGTGACACTACAAGTCACTAATGTTCGCATTTCTTTCTGACTGATTGTTTAATACATGTATCGAAAAAACGTTTTGCCAGGGCAATGCTAAAGATGTTCTCAATCGGACATTTTGAGACATCTCCTGAGACCTACAGTGGGTACCCGGGTAGGATCGGGTAATAGGGAGGTGGGTACCCGGGTAGTAAATTTGGACTCGTCCCAGCCATACTTTTCAAGTAATACAGTGAACAAAAAATGCCAATGAACTAAACTGAGTGTTCTATTTAATGATTCATTATATAAATAAGAGGTATTATGTACATCTGACAATTACATTTGGTCCCTTCCTCACAATCCCCCCCCACTCCCCACCCCCACTTTCCACAAAAGGCCATTTTTCACAATAGTTATATCAATTATATATATACAGTCTGTGACTTCAGCCAATTGTCTGAAGCGAAAGTCTAGCAACATTCTTCTGGTATAGTGAGACTAAATATAATGAAAATAATGCAGAAATACATGTCTTGAGCTTGTGGATTAGAAAGTGTTTGACACAGATTGTATATAACGTAAAAGCGTCATTGCCATTTAAAATGTATCAGGTACTCATTATAAAGACTTACCGTATTCGATGTAATAAGCACCCATAGGAGGCTCTTATTAGAATAAAATTTTGGAAAAAAACAGAGTTGAAAGATTGTAAATTTCGTGGTTTATGCTGACAGCTTGAAATGATACAAAATAAAAGTCTGTGTGTATTATACACGACTGATATATTTATCCAGAATTAAATTGGCCATAATTAAGGGTGCATATAACACACGAGTGCGTATTATACACGAATAAATAAGTCTTGTGTACATTGATCAATCGGAAGGGGTGCTAATTGGGATTGTTCACTAGCCAATATATTAGCAAATATCGCCGTGGGCGCTTATTAGAGTGGGGCGCTTATTACGTCGAATACGGTATTTACATACTACTCTATTTTTGATAGGGTTATTTTTATCTTCATATCTGATCACCCCTATAAAAAGTGGAGTAGTATAATTACAGACATCTCAGCATCTGTAAATCTGAATTTCCATGCCACTACTGCATAATGTCAATCCTTGGAACACAGTTTTAACCAAGCACACAGTCCTTCCTCTCTCTCTGCTACCTATTTTCTTCGTCCACATTCCGGACGGGTGACCTTGACCCCTCCCTCAGCTGTGTATACTGTCCCCCCATGTGGTGGTCTATAGAGATGCTACGTCGAACAACAGGCGATGTCCGCAAGTTCTTCCCTACTTTGTTCGTTAACACAGATTCGTGGCTTTGAGCTAAAATGTGAAGTGCTACCTCGTAATTTGGTGGTGGGGTCATCGGCGGCTCGTCGGACGAAGACATCCGCGTCTGAGGAAGAAACAGTTATCAGAATAGAAATTACATATTGAGTGAGTGAGTGAGTTGGGTTTTACGCCGCTTTTAACAGTATTCCAGTTATATCGCGGCGTGTCAGCTTAATGTGGGAGGAAAGCCCCAAGTGATGCAGGTCTCAGACGTTTACCACTTCGGTGAAACCCACGAGCACGGGTATGGTGCTGACAAACCTAGAAACATAATTGGGGCGAACCGGGATTCGAACCCACAATCATAGGTTTCTGGCGTGCCCAAGGGACGCAACTCTGCACAGCGAATCGCGGCGCCTTAGACGACTGGGCCACCCGTGCCCCCAAATTACATATTGCATTACTGACTGCATAAATGATATTTCTTGTTCATGGACCATGTCATAAAATTGAAACTTATTAGCAAAGTATAAAGTAATATAGAAAATCAATACTTTGTTTGTAATCTCTGATAGAGTGGAGATATACAGGTGTGTGTCAATATATTCTCAGAGTGTGTTCAGTTGATCCTATGATCCTATTATATGTTATTACATATGGTGTGCTATATAACTGGTATACCAGTATACTGCAATACGCCATCAGCAATACACATATCGTATTACAACACTTGTGTATTGATATTTTCCGATACAGACAAAGAAGAATTAAGACATAATTCTATAAATTATGTCTACTAACTTGAGGAATTTGGATGGACTGGGTTCCTATCTAAACCTAGGAAACAGCACATGTTTCATGCTGTTTACATTGATGACATAGATAGTCTCGTTTATCCATACTACCATCATCCAATCTGAAGCCTGAAGCCTGGATAATTGAAAAAAGGAATACCATTTGAACAGTACAAATATATATAATTTGGGCCCCAATACGTATTGCAATTCGACATACATGTATTGCAATACAATTTATGAGCCAATCCCCCAACCCTACAATCAGAGCTCCAGATAAGCTGCGTATCTGCGTGAAATACGCATCAGAAATACAGAAAGACGCAGTAAAATAGAATCCAAGTGTATCAAATACGCAACGAACATTACAGATACACTACAAAAATAAAACTTGTGCGTATCATCAAAATATTGTGAAGTAACCCTGCGTATTCGATTAGCAAATCAGCAACTTATTTTGAAATTATAAACGGGCATTCCGTCAACCTTGACAAACTCCACGATGACAGTGACATCATGATCATTTCTTGTGGAAGTATCGTGGTATTTTTGAGTCCTGTAAAGCTCTCGAACCCACACGACACCAGTTTGCAGGGACTAGATGAATAGTGTTTAAATATTTAACTTAAATACCCACATGTGTAAAAACTAGTGGGTAACAGAAATTTGAATACCCAGATAGAATTACTGATACCCAATGATTTTAAAATGCATGGGTAAAATACCCACAACACCAAAAGCTTATCTGGAGCTCTGTATAATTATAATGCCTGAAAAGGATGATATATTCCCCACACTAGTTACAGGTACCCACCAAACACTCCTTCCAAGTAAGGGTAATTCCCAAAATAAAGTTTACAAGTTACATTCAAATTATTGCACTTATGTAGCGACAGGTCTGTCTGTCTGCACTATTCCGGATTAATGCTGGTTTTATCATGTTTATGGTGCTAGCCCTCTGAGATATGCCAGTTTTAAAATATACAGATACATATATATATATAGACATACAGTAAACTATGCTTACAACGAACACGCTCATACCAAACTGCCAGATATTATAGAACTGTTTTGGGGTTCCGTCAATATGCTGTATATAGGCGGTATATGTGCCTATAACGAACTACGGTTATAATGAACTAAAATTAGTGGTCCCTCTTAGTTCGTTATAACGGTAGTTTACTGCTCATGTAACATATACCCTTAATGCCGAGTGCCAGGCAGGGTAACAACAAGTACCATCTTCATATGCTTTTCGTATGAAGCAGCCGGGGATCAAACCGCCAACCTTCCACTCTCCAGGCAGATGCTCTATCCATCAGGCCACGGAGGCAGTTGTGATGTATTTAGGTCATGTGTTACTCTAGTGTATAACCAGTGCCATCAATCAATATTACAACAAGCATGAAATACTCACATCCCCCGCCAATATGACATGTCGGATTGTGTGCAATGAAAATTGCCTAATTGCAGCACTAAAAAGAGTTATTACTGGTGTTGTTTTTCCATCTGCAGTTTGTGATAGTGAGTGAGTGAGTGAGTTTGGTTTTACGCCGCTTTTAGCAATATTCCAGCAATATCACGGCGGGGGACACCGGAAATGGGCTTCACACATTGTACCCATGTCGGGAATCGAACCCGGGTCTTCGGCGTGACGAGCGAACGCTTTAACCACTAGGCTACCCAACCGCCCCAGTTTATGATAGAATATGTAACTAAATTTGTAATGAGTAAGGATGAGACATATGGACGAACAACTTCTTTATTACAATTAGGAGCGATGGTTTCGGTGAAGGTTCTGACACCGTTATCAAGCAAGTGAAGTACAGAGTATGGTTGACAAGAATATATAGTGTTTATACAGTTGAGTAGGTTTAAGATCAGTTACACTGTTGTATTTGTAATGAGTTGTGTTTCTGCATGAAGTTAGTCAGTGAATGCAACAACCGTGTCCAAGACACTTTTGGAGGAACATACACTCAAGCAAAGCAGAACTTACCAAGAAGAAAGGAAATGGGCTTCACACATTGTACCCATGTCGGGAATCGAACCCGGGTCTTCGGCGTGACAAGCGAACGCTTTAACCACTAGGCTACCCAACCGCCCCAGTTTATGATAGAATATGTAACTAAATTTGTAATGAGTAAGGATGAGACATATGGACGAACAACTTCTTTATTACAATTAGGAGCGATGGTTTCGGTGAAGGTTCTGACACCGTTATCAAGCAAGTGAAGTACAGAGTATGGTTGACAAGAATATATAGTGTTTATACAGTTGAGTAGGTTTAAGATCAGTTACACTGTTGTATTTGTAATGAGTTGTGTTTCTGCATGAAGTTAGTCAGTGAATGCAACAACCGTGTCCAAGACACTTTTGGAGGAACATACACTCAAGCAAAGCAGAACTTACCAAGAAGAAAGGAAATGTATTCAATACTGTGAGATGACATTATGTGCCAAGTTTGGTGAAGAAATATAGCACGGTTTTCAAGATCTGTTCCAGAAACGAGGACTACCGCCATTTTCAGTCTAATTCAAAGTCGTTGCCATGGAAACTCGAAAAATAATTTTTGGAAAAATCCCAAACTATCAAAAGGCACCAGTTCACCACTAGATCTATCTATGTGCCAAGTTTGGTGAAGAAATATGGTACGGTTTTCAAGATCTGCTCTGGAAACGAGGACTACTGCTATTTTCAGTCTAATTCAAAGTCGTTGCCATGGAAACTCGAAAAATAATTTTTTGAAAAATCCAAAACTATCAAAAGGCACCAGTTCACCACTAGATCTATCTATGTGCCAAGTTGGATGAAGAAATATGGCACGCTTTTCAAGATCTGCTCCGGAAACGAGGACTACAGCCATTTTCAGTCTAAATCAAAGTCGTTGCCATAGAAACTAAAAAAATTTAAAAAATTAAAATCCCAAACTATCAAAAGGCACCAGTTCACCACTAGACCTATCTATGTGCCAAGTTTGATGAAGATATATGGTACAGTTTTCAAGATCTGCTCCGGATAAACGAAATGTGACGGACGGACGGACGGACGGACGGCACCCATTCCTATATCCCCCTTCCACTTCGTGGCGGGGAATAATAAGCATGATCTGTGGCCAAAGGTTCTTCTGTTACTACACTGCATGATCAACGCCATGAATCAATATCACAATAAGCATGATCACAATCTTCATTCGTCGGATCTTACGACAGGTGTGGGGAGGTGGGACCTGCTGTGTTTGACCCAGCAGCAAGTTTAGTACCTACATTTCTCAGCATCTGTGGTGTGGCTGGGTAAAGGTCTGTTGTGACAACCTCGTCGTACGTCGGCGGCGGCATGTATAATGAAGCATTGTCTCCATCACCACTCATCCCATCGCCATTCATGGATTCAAAGTTGTCGTTTCTTCCTGCATCAAAAAGCATGACATGTGTGAGTGAGTGAGTGAGTTGGGTTTAACAGTATTCCAGTTATATCGTGGCGTCTCAGCTTAATGTGGGAGGAAAGCCCCAAGTGATGCAGGTCTGAGACATTTACCACTTCGGTGAAACCCACGAGCAAAGATATTGTGCTGACAAACCTAGAAACATAATCGGGGCGAACCAGGATTCGAACCCACAATCATAGGTTTCTAGCGTGCCCAAGGGATGCAACTCTGCACAGTGAATCGCGGCGCCTTAGATGACTGGGCCACCCATGCCCCCTGCATGACATGAGTAACACACAGTTCGAGAATTTTCAGAGGATCCACAGAACTCTAAGGACTTTGTTCCGTCAAGTGTTATTTTTGCCACCCATGCCATTACCATGACTACAATATACTCATAAGTCATGACCCCAGACCCCTGGCTAACTTTTAGTGTTTTTCAAAAAATACACATTCTCATCCCTGAGCAGTCAATAAGCAATAAGTCAATAAGTTCTGGTTTTGAAAATACCTACTAAATGCAAAAATAAACCATATAGAGTGAAAGATTTAGTGAAATAACTTCCCAATATACCACATGCATTTCTTGCAGACAACAGAAACACCATACCCGTTCTTCCATTGCCCCGTTGTCGCTGTTGGAAGCAGTAGAGGATGATGAGAAAAATGACAACAGCCATGCCGACCACAATCATGATGAGAATTGTGTTCTGGTTCATAATCTGCTCATCGGCTGAAAAGAAAGAGCAATTTCAATTTAACGTCGCACTGACAAAATCTCCACCGGAAAGGCAAATTTCAATCTAATGTCTCACTGACAACAATCTCATTAAAATCAGATCTTAGTTCTCGCTATCGCTAAACAAAGATCTGAGGACATCCCATTACGGGTCACGTCAGAACGACCTTTCACCCGGCCAATCAAAGCGTCGCTTACCACATCATGAAAGTGACATTCGAAATGTGTTTTCTAATCATGCAACCTCGAAAACGACAACACGGGGTATTCCGAATGACAGTTTTGACTGATTCCGTCAAACTTATCGTCTATCTCTCGCTTCAGTGGGGTAAACATTTGAATGGAGGAGGCATTGCATAGTTCGTGGGAAGCACTGCCATACAATCTCAACCATATATTAGACATTCAGGAATGTTCGTTTGTTCAGTTTTCAAATTTTTAATCAAGAACTGTGTCAATATATTTATGAAAGAAACATGTCTATTGTTCCTCTCTCGAATTGTCGAACTGTGGGCATAAATATAGAATACTAAACGAGTTCCCGTGTATTACCACAACTATTCACGAGTTTCATAAAATTGGTTTTACACGGGAGCGAGTTTAGTATTTTATTAATTACTTGCCATTTATAACGTTTTTAGAATTATACTGTTGAGTATGAACAGGCTGACACCTACACGATCCACGGCATAGTCCAACTGAGTTTAACAGAATAATACTTCAAACACGTCAAAAGTTGGAACGTATGAATTTAATACCATACAACGGTCCACCTTTAGAATTCACAAAATTATCGTAGGGCTAAGACTATCGCAACTCACATACTTTAACATAGACTTACAACTGTCGTTGCGCTACAATACGATCGCCTTGTGGAGCAGGCCTTGCACCTTAAAGTTTACAATAACGTCACAACACCCGATGACATAATTTTTTGGAATTATGTTGCAAGATCCATCGGCGAAACAATGCCATGTGACGTCAGCCTAGCAACAAGGTTGCTGGGGGCCATCAAGTGTGCATAAGCTCCTCTCAGTGATCTATCAACTCCACACGCAATGTCGTTGAATAAGCCAAGGGATGTTGAGAGTTTTCAACATTTCTTCGTGAAATGTGTTCCGAGAGTACATAAGTATGCGTTTTGGTATTACACAATGCGTAATACAGCTGTATGTTTATTAAACAGGTGATCTCTTCACGGGCAAGTAATAACATTTGCAACACACCAACCACAATTTTGTATCTCAGATCAAGGATGTAAGATGCCATTCACCGAATAGTTATGATATTTTCCGAATGAAATAGATCAAGGGCAACTTCAAATGCATATTTACACCATTTTACATGTCACCCTTAAATACATATGTATTGTCTTGAATTGATACACACATGACCTATTCATGTGGTCATTCACTGAACATTCATAGTAAATCTACAAGCCAGCAAACAACAGAGCTCTATTTACTATATACAGGAGCCATTTTCACACTGTTAACCACCATGTCACAATCATTTCTAGTGAATCGCAACAACTCTACTTACGACAGAGCTCTATTTACTATATACAGGAGCATCTTCACACTGTTAACCACCACGTCACAATCATTTCTAGTGAATAGCAACAACTCTACTTACGACAGAGCTCTATTTACTATATACAGGAGCCATTTTCACACTGTTAACCACCACATCACAATCATTTCTAGTGAATAGCAACAACTCTACTTACGACAGAGCTCTATTTACTATATACAGGAGCCATTTTCACACTGTTAACCACCACGTCACAATCATTTCTAGTGAATAGCAAAAACTCTACTTACGACAGAGCTCTATTTACTATACACAGGAGCCATTTTCACACTGTTAACCACCAGGTCACAATCATTTCTAGTGGATCACAACAACTCTACTTACGACAGAGCTCTATTTACTATATACAGGAGCCATTTTTACACTGTTAACCACCACGTCACAATCATTTCTAGTGAATAGCAAAAACTCTACTTACGACAGAGCTCTATTTACTATATACAGGAGCCATTTTCACACTGTTAACCACCAGGTCACAATCATTTCTAGTGAATAGCAACAACTCTACTTTAAAACATAGCTTCATTGTGTTACATACAGGAGCGATCTTCACACTGTCTGTTAATCGTCAGATCACAATCATTTCTAGTGAATCAGTACAAAACTACTTTTGACATAGCTCAACCTTTGATATACAGGAGCCATTTAACACTGTCTGTTAACCATCAGGTCACAATCATTTCTAGTGAATCGCAAAAACTCTACTTACGACATAGCTCGACCTTTGATATACAGGTGCCATCTTCACACTGTCTGTTAATCGCCAGGTCGCAATCAATTTCCGTGATTGGCTTTCCTCCACCACTGGAATCGTTGTTTTTGTATGTCACAGACATAATGGACTCTGAAAGAAAACAACACTGAGTGGGTGTATAAGCTGGACTTTGTAGTGCTTTTCAGTTTTATCAACATGTAGTACCAAAAGAGGAAAGCAAGTAAAATACTTGTGGTGAATCGTATCAGTATGGGTCATTGAGAATGATACTTTGTTTCTTTGATGCTTAACGCCGCACTCAGCAATATTCCAGCTATATGACAGTGGTCTGTAAATAATCGAGTCTGGACCTGACAATCCAGTGATTGATATCATGAGCATCAATCCACACAACTGGGATACAATGACATGCATCAACCAAGTCAGTGAGCCTGACTATCCGATCTTGTTAGTTGCCTCTTACAACATGCATAGTCGCCTCTTAAAACAAGCATCGGTTGATGTAGACCTATTCTAACACGGATCTTCACAGGTCTGGGAATGGTACTGACAATCTCACTGAAAGGCTTGCATTAGGCCTGTCTGTTCAGATTTCAGAATATGTGTGTTTGTTTACAAACAAGAGAAAAGTCTGGTCATGTGATAAGGCTACATCTGACGTGTTGTCACTGTGGCAGAAATTTCTCTCACGGAATAATGTGATCAGAGTAAGCTCAGGGGTTATTGGCTATTGTTTGCAAACAATGAACAGTCCACATACGGTCCCTTGCCATGGCTGCATATTTATAGACATATTTTTACTTACAGTTTTAACTCCATCTGGCAATGACAGAACATGAAATGTCCTATGTTCATGAACAAATCAGATGACAGTGGAAGAATCCCATGTGTATCAAATGTTAAACTTTTGTTGAATATTTATGAATTTGGAGATGTAAGGAATGCAGAAAGTGTGATGAATGTAAAATGATTTTAGTATGCTTAAACACTGTAGCATTGTAATGGCATTATTTGTATTCAAGATAGTAAATGTTTCAGGTTAATTTGTAGTGCATTGCCTACATATCTATCAGATACTGGTCACCACCACGAATATAACTTTAATGTTTCTTTTACACTGAAGGAAATGCGAACTGTGGTGTCATTATCTGGTTACGAGGACCTTGTTGCACCCGTGTGTGGTTAATATCGCTTTGGGGCAATTTCAATGGCATATTTCAAACGGGAGTTGCTGTCGTAATTCTTGCCATGCCGGACCTTGGAACAAACTTGACAACAACCTGACGGATCATGCTCCCTCTTGCGTTGTACTGAATAGGGCCTGTATATTTGTTGTCGTACGCACATAGATTACACATCTAACGTAGACTTTTCTTACCTGGTATTCTGAATTATAATCATTAACGGAATACGTTTCTACCAAATGTAGAACTACAATCAAGCGACAATTACGGAGGCATTTCTGTCAAAAACATCAACAAACTTCTCGATGCCTCCCGCAAACGACCTTCACCCACGCTGGTCTGAAGCAACTTCCGCCAATGAGAGTTATCCGCCCTTGTTTAGACATCGTTAAAGTACATTCAGATGTCAAAGTCATCACGACACCACGTTGACCTTGAAATGTATACAATGTAGACAATTACATGTTATATAGTTGTAGGTAGAATACCAAGCCCCTCTGTCGTATGAAAAACAACTAGGTACGTCCTCGTGATCGAAAGTCATTCGAAAGCCTATAACATCGAAATTTGTTGCAGATCAAATTGTTTGGAAATTACAAAAGTCAAAGACATATTCCAATTTGTGAAGGGCAACATCTTTGTCCGTTTTGTGGAACTGTATCACAATTGTTGAGGGGGTGTTGAGTGATGGGGTTTTTCTTCATTTTAAGGGGCTGAGATTTCTTTTCTTCCTTTTCCTCCTGCCTGGGGGTAGGGTGGGTGGGTGGGTTGGGGGGTGCTTTTAATTAGAGGGGTAGAGGATTTACTAAAACCAAGCAAACGGAAATTCGCGACAAAATATGTCATCTATGTCGATCCTTCAAGAAAAGATTCAGTCACATATAGATCCCACCCCCTAAAAATGTCTATGTGTCTATGACAGGCCTTATTTCTCAGGTTTGGCCTCGTATTGGCGCAAATTTGTAGCAAACCTTTCTACCATCGCATCCCCTCTCTACAACCGTCGGAAAAAAGACGCGTCTTTCGAACGGTCCAACATTCACCAACATGCAATCTAAAAGCTACAGCAAACCCTTCTTCCTCAAACTGATGTATCCCAAACTGCGATAGGGTACGTTTTAGGCCATCTTGATTCTCATAGCTTAACTTCTAATGATGTTGTTAATTCATGTCTTTTGACAATACAAGTATCTTCCTTGACATTGGTCCTGTTCTGTATTTAGGATCAAACAATGTTAGCTGGTAACTTTTCTTTTGCTCGTCAGTTTAGGTTATTGCAATAAAATATTTTTAATTATACATATGCTTAAATTGTATTTTTTCCAAGTAAGGGTTAATAATGGTCATTTCACATCACAGTCAACAACTGTTTCAGTTATATCGCAGTGGGAAAAGCGGAGTCAAAAACCTTGTCTAAGGATTCAACACACTGCCTTGCATGATAGGGCCTCTTGAAATGGCCCTATGAGATTCGAAATGATTATTAATAAATATGGGTTACAGACATGTTGTCTCTATTGGTGATATCTCTCGGTCAAAGATTATGGCCTTGTTCACAAAATACCCTGTACTGATGAGGATGGCCACATTTTATACTGTTTTTTTTCAAAATCACAATCATGAGGAAATGTGATTATGAGTTTAAATAGAGCCACAACCTCACTTAGAGGCAAACCCAAAGTCAACATTCGTCCAATTTGATGCAGTGTGGGATGAATGAGAGATTTTGGTTTAACGCCGCTTTGAACAATAATTCAGTTATATCACGTCAGCGTAATGTGAGAGAAAAGACAGGCGTGGTGGTGTAGGACTAGCTCCTTTGGTGAAACCCATGAGCACGAGTAAGGTGCAAACAAACCCAGCACGTAATCTGGAATTGGAACCCGAGATGCAGTATGGCTCCAGCTGATGAGGTGAGATGAAATTGGGTTTAACGTCGCGTCCAAGATTATTGAACTGTGTATGTGGCTGCTTGTACTAATCCGGACTGATGCCGATTTATAGTGATAGCTCACTGAGATACCATACCTCAGTTTGACATGAATACCCCACTCAGACACAGTATACTGACTCCGAGCCGACCAGTCCTTGTTTTAGCCCCTTAATGCCGAGCGCCAGACAGGGTAACAACAAGTACCATCTTTGAACGTCTTTTGGTATGACGCGGCCGGGAATCGAACTCCGGACCTTTCACTCTCCGAGCGGACGCTCTACCACAATACCACGGAGGCGGTCTCCAGTTAATGAATGGCTGTTGACATAATAACAGCTTTAGTAGAACAGACTCACTAACTCTTGCCGAAAGTGTTCTTAAGGTACTGGTACGTCAAGACGTTGCATAGATTTTTACGTCTAGCTGTTGGCGTCGTTGTGTTCGTATGTCAGAGGCTACGACTTCAGGGCTATGGCCTCTTTGAGGAGGTGGTTTCATCAAGATTGGAATTAATATTTTAAATCGTTTCGAGTTAAGGATTCGGAGTAGTTGCAATTGGCAGACCTAGCAAGGTGGATTCAAATATTTCAAAACATGTCGTTTGTAAACTCAAATTGTGTAATGAATAATGAATCTAGAAGTTGTTAGTACGCGGGGACAATGTCTACGTTTGACACAAGTAACTAATTACAATAACTAAACCTGGCAATGGACGCTCGACGTTCACAGTGCCCCGTTATTGCGGGCACCCAAGTCTGAAAAGAGAGTGAGTGAGTGAGTGAGTATGGTTTTACGCCGCTTTTAGCAATATTCCAGCAATATCACGGCGGGGGACACCAGAAATGGGCTTCACACATTGTACCCATGTCGGGAATCGAACCCGCGTTTTCGGCGTGACGAGCGAACCCTTTAACCTCTAAATATTCACACATATTACCCTTGATTCAGCCACTGGACTACGTAGCTTTGAAGAAAAAACCCACATTGCTTTAAATCGATGTGTAATTTCAAAGCGGCGAGAAACTCTAAATAACCTCCAAGTATAATCGCTATTCTCTATGCCCAAGTTAACCGCCTATGGTAAATATAAGATAAACAAAAATACACGCACTGAAACAGAACGTCGAAAATATATGTCTATAAGTGTCTGTACTGCCAATCACTTGACTGTCGTAATCTTGTCTACAACAGTAAAATGTACACACAGGGGTCGGTGTAGCCGAGAGCCGCGATGGGGTCCTACAGTAAAGACATGGCCATGATGTAGGTTCATGTCTTGACTGTAGGACCCCATCGAGGCTCTCGGCTAGGGTAGACGAATCTCGACACAAAACAGAGCTGACAGGAATAGAGTATCTCAAACACCCACCTACCAATTCTAAAGGCAGCCATTCGACCCACATCAGCTTGTTGACAGCGGATTCATCGACAACACGCACGTAATTTCCAATCGTAACTCCGTGCAGGAAATTCCGACATTATCGGGAACGCAGACACTGAATGACCTAACACACACCCACTCGAGGCCCCGGTCAGACTCGTATATGGGTGCAAATGAGACACGGGTCCAGGTCTGTCCTCAATCACAAGTGCAGATACTGAATGCATCGTAACGGTGATTAACTGAGAGCAGGGACTAAATTATCTAGCTTTGCAAATCAATAGCATGGACTGCCTCAGTTACTGACGTTCCATCCTTCGGGACCTACGCCATTACAATGATTGATACGCTAACGCGACGTGTTTGGCGGCAAAGTGGAATGTACACACGAATCATGAATCAGAAACCTGTTCATTCATTAAATGTGCCTGCTCGCTGTTTAAAGGGATTTTTTTAAAAAGGAAATTGTAAACACATAAATATTTTGGTAAAATATTAATCAAGACGCATGATTCAAATTCCAGGTTGTACCATTAATAGTAGCTTTTATTTGTATATTAGTTGTCGTTGTTGAATATGTTTTGCACGTTTTTTCTTAATATATGCTGACTAATAGTATTTAATATGTTGATACTTGTATTGGTGGAAGCAACTATATGCATGTACCTGATGTTAATACCTTCACATCCGATAAGGGTTGGTTGTGGGTTTGTTGTTTAACGCCGAACTAATTTGTGGTCGAGGAGAAATTATGAAACTGTTCTGTCAGTATGAGAACCACAAAGATTCAGGGACGAGAGCTATTATTTCTTCTTGTAAATTTCGAGTTTTTTTCCAAACATTAATATAATGTTTGCAGTTCACATCCAGTTGTCCTGACAGATTGAGGGAGTGTGGTTTTACTTCACTTTTAGCAATATTCCAGCCTTATCACAGGGGAGGAAGGTTGGCACACACACATTGTAAAATGGGTTTCACATATTGAAGCCATAGGAAATCCAACCTAGGTCTTCAGCTTTATCTACTGGGCTACCCCGCGGTCCCATCTCTCTGGACAGAAAATGAGTCAACACAGTTAGAGGAAAGACAGATAAGAGTTGGATTATTTATTTACGTTTGTTTGTTGTTTATCAAGTGATAATAATCCAGTGATTGACATCATGAGCATCGATCCACGCTCTAAAAATCAAAATTAATGTTGGTTGGTTGGTTTGTTGTTTAACGCCGCACTCAGCAATATTCCAGCTATATGACGGCGGTCTGTAAAATATTGAGTCTGGACCAGACAATCCAGTGATTAATATCATGAGCAATCGGACGGCATTGTTGACGTCATTCGAATCTTATTGTGACGAAGGTCGGAATGACGTCATACTAGAAACGACGTCATGTCTCTGTATGTAGATATCGTCTTCGGTAATACATAAAACCATTCGTGACCAACTCGTGTTATTCCGGGACAAGCCGAATAGCGGTTACGGAAACGGGCGAGTTGTGACGAATGACAGAAAACATTATATTCGTGTTCATATCTCGCTCGGGAAATACCGGAATGTAGGCACGAGTGTCGTAAACATAGTATGACATCAACACTCATATAATATCGCCCGCCGTTATGTTACTGGAATATTGCTAAAAGCGGCGTAAAACCATACTCAGTCACTATAATATCCTCTTCACTGTCAGATGTTGACGTATGGCGGTCGAGGAAGGCGGCATTTAATAAAGTGATGCTATTACATATCTTCGTAGCTTTCAAGGTAAAAAAAACTGCAAGCATGCTTGAGACAATTACAATGCAATACATGTAATTCCTTCATCATGATTTTAGGAATGTCCAAATTGTTTGGACACGACCCGAATGCAAGATAACCATTCTTTAGCATCCATCTCAGTGCATTCACATTAGTTTGGTTGCATGGGGGTGGTGGGGCGGGCAGAGTCAGGGGAGCGATGTTGGTGTCAACACAAACATACAGGCCTGGGAAACTGTATGGAGAACAGATATTTTTTCAGCTACATAGTTTTTCAATAACATTTAAAACTATGAGCCTAAATAGACTCAACAAAATTATAACATCATGAAAGAAAGTATTTTTTTGCGATAGAAAATGTTTTTTGGTTCAAATGTCTGAGGCATAAATATATCATTCAAGAATTTTCAATTTGACAATTGTTTTATTTTTACGCCCAAAGGAATCTGTTTCGGCGGATAATCGATGAAGGAGTAAGCATATACTCCGAAAAATATCGTGTTCCTCATAATAAAGAAGTTGACATCCATATATTCTCTTCCTAAATCGATAGTAGTTATTCTCTGGCGTTAAAGTTTTATATTTTGAAACACAGTTCCATCTTGATAGATAAAAAAACATAAAAGGAACTCCAGATATGCATCTTTTAGAACACTGTGACTATCGTGTATTCAATCTAGTTAATTTATGTCTGCTCAGTTTGTCCTATACCCGCCCATCCCAAACAGGAAACAGTACTCTCATAAGCATGCAGCGTCAGGTGCGCTGGTAAGCATTTACTTTCTCCTCCCCCGGGAATCATCAACAAGTTGGCAGATAATGGTATCATTAGGTGTTACTGACACCTCCCGCCGGGAACATTGTCGTGCGGCAGTGCATTGTAATAACGCTTACTAAGTCATGTCATGTAGCTGTCAGTCGGTGTTTAAACAAACATGTTGTCGCGTCATTACCATTGTGAGATTAGCCTTTTCATAGAAGTATATTTACGTTGATAGGTATTTTTTTAATGGTATATGAAAAATGACCCCACTCCAGTTTCTATTTAGCCAAGTATCAATGCATGCATATAATTGTGGCATACTGACATAGAGTTTGAGATATCGGTAATGCCATTAATGGTACGTTATTCTTATAGTCATCTCATGATATTTTGTTCTACTACCATCTTTGACCTACACATACTCTTGTGGAGAAAGGATCGCCTCCGTGGTCTAGTGGTAGAGCGTCCGCCCGGAGAGCAGATGGTCCGGGTTCGAGCCCCGGTCGCGACTACGAAAAGACGTTATAAGATGGTACTTGTTATAACCCTGTCTGTCGTTCGGCATTAAGGGGCTAAAACAAGGACTGGTCGGCACGGAGTCAGTTTTCTGTGTCTGAGTGGGGTATTCATGTTAAACTGTGGCAATGTATCTCAATGGGCTAGCACTATAAATCAACATAAGTCCGGACTAGTACAAGCAGCCACACGCATGTAGCTATAAAAGTGCAATAATCTTAGACGCGACTTTAAACTCCATATCACCTCGCCTCACCTCTTGTAGTAAAAAAATGTTTTCTTTGCCTGCGAAATCACGATTACACTAAAAGGTATTGCTGAGTTCAATTCCTTCAAAAGAGTCTGTTTTCTCGAGTGTATTCGTTACATATGACCAGTGTGATATTAATGTATCAAATATTTTGAACTCTATATATGCTATAAATATATATTAAATAAGGTGAGCTACAGTACCTACTCCACTTCACACGTCATGTTGAGCTGCATGACTTGCAGATCGTAAAACCAACATATTCATTATCTTTGTAATAACTTACGAAAACAGAAGGGGGGGGGGGGGGGGGGGGGGGGGGGGGGGGGCAGTCGTCTAAGGCGCCGCGATTTGACGGCCAAGTGTCACTTTGTGTCAGCTTGATGTGGGACGAAAGCCCAAAGTGATTCGACCCATGAAGATCAGGGGTAGAGTAGGTCTTCAGCAACCCATGCTTGCCGTAAAAGGCGACTAACAGGATCGGGTGGTCAGGCTCGCTGACTTGGTTGATGCATGTCATCATCCAAAGTGCGAAAGTGATGCAGGTCTTAGAGTTTACTACTTTGGTGAAACCCACGAGCAGGGTGTGGTTCATGCCCAAGGGGACACAACTCTGCACGACTGGGCCACCCATGTCTAGTTGATGTGTCACATCATGGATCTAACATGGCGACATCCATTCATACTAATGTGCAAAGTGTGTTAATCATGATTTTAGTGTGATTGTTTTTTATATGGTAATTTTCAGTGGAAAATGCCTTTAAATATAACAAACACTGACAATAACATTTATAGAAACTGTATTCAAACATTCTTCAAAGCATGAAACCTTAAACATTCTGACTGTTAAACAACAATGTTATCACATGAAATAACTCTAACAGATCCCCTGAATTTCATTGGCAATTTATCAGATGGTTTTTTTACAAAGAGGACATAAAGAACACTTCCTGATGGAACCAACACCACAGAATTGGTTGGTAACTAAATACCCAGCCAAAGGGCTAGCACAAAGCATCTTTAGCACGCTTAGGCCGCACACTTTCCTGGTTTATGGATCGACCTTCAAAAACCAAAATCAAGTGAAAAAATTACTGTCACCTGTAGCTATTGTTTTTCAAAGTTGTTCCCCCCGATTCAAACCATCTCCTCTATAAATATGGGTTAAAAAAATACACCAAATAATAAATTAATTTTTTTAACCAATATTTATAGAGGAGATGGCTTGAATCGAAGAAAAACTTCAAAAAACAATGTGAGAATATATATATTCATATATTTTTTACCATTTGACACTGCAAATGTTTTTTTATTTCGATGAAATATTTGCTGTGCAGAGTTGCGTCCCTTGGGCACGCCAGAAACCTATGAGTGTTGGTTCGAATCCCGGTTTGCCCCGATTATGTTTCTAGGTTTGTCAGCACCATACCCATGCTTGTGAGTTTCTCCGAAGTGGTAAACGTCTGAGACCTGCATCACTTCAGGCTTTCCTCACACATAAGCTGACACACTGTGATATAACTTGAATACTGTTAAAAGTGGCGTTAAATCCAACTCACTCACTCACTCAATCAAATGTGAAAGGTAATCCCCAAGTGCCACTTTCTGTGAACTGCACAATCACTGGCACACAGCTGGCAACACAATAATCTGGGTTGCTCCATAATTGGAACTTCCTTTGTTCCTGGTAGAAAAGGGGCACAACTCTGCACAGCATGTTGCAGCATAATGGCATATCAACCGTGATTACCACACGGACATAGTGCAATATGATATCTACTATATCACAGTACCCCTGGTTATAGACCACAAACCATAGTGCCCCTTGTTATCAACCACAGTGCCCATTGTTATCAACCACAAACCACAGTGCCCCTTGTTATCAACCACAGTGCCCATTGTTATCAACCACAAACCACAGTGCCCATTGTTATCAACCACAGTGCCCATTGTTATCAACCACAGACCACAGTGCCCATTGTTATCAATCACAGTGCCCATTGTTATCAACCACAAACCACAGTGCCCATTGTTATCAAACACAGACCACAGTGCCCCTTGTTATCAAACACAGACCACAGTGCCCCTTGTTATCAATCACAGTGCCTATTGTTATCAACCACAAACCACAGTGCCCCTTGTTATCAAACACAGACCACAGTGCCCCTTGTTATCAAACACAGACCACAGTGCCCATTGTTATCAAACACAGACCACAGTGCCCCTTGTTATCAACTACAGATAACAATGCCCCTTGTTATCAAACACAGACCACAGTGCCCCTTGTTACAAACACAGATCAGTGCCCCTTGTTATCAAACACAGACCACAGTGCCCCTTGTTATCAACTACAGATCACAATGCCCCTTGTTATCAAACACAGATCAGTGCCCCTTGTTATCAAACACGGACCACATTGCCACTTGTTATCAACTACAGATCACAGTGCCCCTTGTTATCAAACACAGACCACAGTGCCCCTTGTTATCAACTACAGATCACAATGCCCCTTGTTATCAAACACAAACCACAGTGCCCCTTGTTATCAAACACAGATCAGTGCCCCTTGTTATCAAACACAGACCACAGTGCCCCTTGTTATCAACTACAGATCACAATGCCCCTTGTTATCAACCACAAACCACAGTGCCCCTTGTTATCAAACACAGACCACAGTGGCCCTTGTTATCAAACACAGATCACAATGCTTCTTGTTATCAACCACAGACTGGGTCACGGTGACAATTGTTATCAACTGCAGACCATTGGATCACAAAGCCTCTTGTTATCAACCACTGACAACTGGGTCTAAGTTCCCCTTGTTATCAACAACAGACCACAGTGCCCCTTGTTATCAACCACAGACCACAGTGCCCCTTTTTATCAACCACAGACCGCTGAGTCACAGTGACATTATCATCAAACATATTATGGTGGAAAAAACATGAGTACTTATAAAAGATATATACACAAAATCAAAATAACATAAATGACAACAATAGCATCACCTTGAGCATAACAATGTTCAGAGGGAAGTGATCATGTCAAGCTCAAGTTGACATCTGCTAAGGACCACCTCTAACTAAAGATGACTATTTCTGTCCTTAGCAAATGTTGAGTAGTATATATAAGCTTCTTTTAGCCATAAAAACAATTCTTCTCTGGGTTAAGTGATAAATAATTCAAACAAAACTGGTACACTCTAGATTGTTCAGATTACTTACGATAAAATACACATTTCCATAACCTCACATTTCCTTTAAATATATGTCATTTGTAAACAGATATTCATGATTGTATATTATGCATATCACTGCTTACCAATTGCATGATAAACTTTTTATACAAAACACAAAAGAAAAATATAATTCAGGAAATAATTTGTGGTCAAGGAGAAATTATGAAACTGTTCTGTCAGTATGAGAACCACAAAGATTCAGGGACGAGAGCATTTATTTCCACTTGTAAATTTCGAGCTTTTTTTCAAACATGAATATAATGTTTGCAGTTCACATCCAGTTGTCCTGACAGATTGAGGGAGTGTGGTTTTACTTCACTTTTAGCAAATTCCAGCCTTATCACAGGGGAGGAAGGTTGGCACACAAAAATTGAAAAATGGGTTTCACACATTGTAGCCATAGGAAATCCAACCTTGGTCTTCAGCTTTATCTACTGGGCTACCCCGCAGTCCCCTCTCTCCGGACAGAAAATGATTCAACACAGTTAGAGGAAAGACAGATAAGAGTTGGATTATTTACATTTGTTTGTTTGTTTGTTTCACACCGCACTCAGCAATATTCCAGCTATATGACGGCGGTCTGTATAAAAAAAAGAAATCGAGCCTGGACCAGACAATCCGATGATTAATATCATGAGCATCGATCCACGCAATTGGATTCGATGACATACATCAACCAAGTCAGCGAGCCTGACCACCCAATCCCGTTAGTCGCCTCTTACGACAAGCATAGTCGTCTTTTACGGCAAGCATGGGGTTCCTGAAGATCTATTCTAACCTGGATCTTCACGAGTATGTTATAATATCCAACAATGATGTTGTTGAGGTATGAACATAATAAGGTAGGGCCAGGATACAAAATAATATCTGTTCAGCCATGAGCATTTCCTTGTACTGAAAAAAACAAAAACACAAGATAATTTGGGCAATGATATATATCTGCATTTTTTGGCAAATTGTAAACGAATTTAATGTTTCACTGACAACTAATTCAGTCATCATCACACAGATCCAATATGGAGATATCTGGTTCTGGGATATCCAGCTCACAGCAAGAGTCGTCTCCCATGTATATGACACTGTCATCAAGGTCACCTGGCTCACGCTTAATGAAGGTCGTCTCAACATAGACAACATCATCATCTTCTTCATCGATCTCCACTTTACATTTGACCTCCACAAGGTCTTTGTTCGCGACCTCTTGTTTCAACCTCTCATGCTTAATGGCAATTGGGGACATGGATTGATCTTGCTTGACAAGACGTGAAACGTTTTTACTTGGTGTACTCATTTCAATGTCATTGGTTAACTGACTGATCTGTTCTTGTTTCAGGTCTTTCGTTTGGTCTTCTGGAAGCGGACATCTTGGTTCGGGTTTGTCAACAATTGAGTCGGGTTCATCGACATTTGGTTCGGGTTTGTCAGCAACTGATTTGGGTGGACTGACGTTTGATTGGGGCTTCTCCCCCTTGTCTGCAACCACTGGCTGCTGTTCGTGTTGTTCAGTACTGTTGTTTATGTCGATGTTTGTCAGTCTTGTCGTTACTTCTTGTGCAATGTCCATGTCAACAGACAGACCCATATCCTGCAGCACTTCTTGAGTCCCATAATGCAACACCACTTCCTCCAAGACTGGCCCTTTACACAAACGGGTCCGTGTACGATAGGTGCACTTGTCATCGTACTGCAGTTCCACCATGGTGCGTCCCTCGCGGCAAACAACGCCCATACCACCTGAAACAAGCACAGTGAGTCATTATTTCAAATACTCGCTACGACTACAACAAAGATCTGAGTAGACCCATTACAGGTCACATCAGAACTACCTTTTGCAAACTTAGACCGCCCAAAGAAATGACAGGAAGTTGACGTAAGTAAATCAAAGAGCAGCTTCTTCAAATACACGACAGTCTTGTATACGTGACAATCCCGAATACTTGACAGACCCGAATATGTGACAATCCTGTATACATGACAGTCCCAATTATGTGTCACGAACACAAGACAGTCTGGAATACATGACAGTCCCGAAAACATGACAGTCCCGTATACACGACAGTCCCGAACACATGACAGTCCCATATACATGACAGTCCCGAAAACATGACAGTCCCGAATGCATGACAGTCCCGTATACATGACAGTCCCGAAAACATGACAGTCCTGTATACATGACAGTCCCGAATACATGACAGCCCGGAATACATGACAGTCCCGAATACATGACAGTCCCGAATGCATGACAGTCCTGAATACGTGACAGTCCCGAAAACATGACATCCCGAATACGCAACATGACATCCCGAATACGCGACATGACATCCCGAATGCATGACAGTCCCGAATACATGACAGTCCCGTATGCATGACAGTCCTGAATGCATGACAGTCCCAAATACATGACAGTCCCGAATACGTGACAGTCCCGAATGCATGACAGTCCCGAATACGTGACAGTCCTGAATGAATGAGAGTCCTGAATATGTGACAGTCCCGAACAAGTGACATTCCTGAATACATGACAGTCCGGAATGCCTGACAGTCCCGAATACATGACAGCTTTCTCAAGCTTTAAGGCACAAGTTTCACAATGGCAACTTCCATTACAGGTCACATCAGAACTACCTTTTGCAAACTTAGACCGCCCAAAGAAATGACAGGAAGTTGACGTAAGTAAATCAAAGAGCAGCTTCTTCAAATACACGACAGTCTCGTATACGTGACAATCCCGAATACTTGACAGACCCGAATATGTGACAATCCTGTATACATGACAGTCCCAATTATGTGTCACGAACACAAGACAGTCTGGAATACATGACAGTCCCGAAAACATGACAGTCCCATATACATGACAGTCCCGAACACATGACAGTCCCATATACATGACAGTCCCGAAAACATGACAGTCCCGAATGCATGACAGTCCCGTATACATGACAGTCCCGAAAACATGACAGTCCTGTATACATGACAGTCCCGAATACATGACAGTCCTGTATACATGACAGTCACGAACACATGACAGTCCTGTATACATGACAGTCCCGAATACATGACAGTCCTGTATACATGACAGTCACGAACACATGACAGTCCCGAATGCATGACAGTCCCGAATACATGACAGTCCCGAATACATGACAGTCCCAAATGCATGACAGTCCCGAATGCATGACAGTCCCGTATACGTGACAGTCCCGAATACATGACAGTCCCGTATACATGACAGTCCCGTATCGTGACAGGCCCGAATGCATGACAGTCCCGAATGCATGACAGTCCCGAATGCGTGACAGTCCCGAAAACATGACATCCCGAATACGCGACATGACATCTTGAATACGAGACAGTCCTGAATGCATGACAGTCCTGAATACGTGACAGTCCCGAAAACATGACATCCCGAATACGCGACATTACATCCCGAATGCATGACAGTCCCGAATACATGACAGTCCCGTATGCATGACAGTCCCGAATGCATGACAGTCCCAAATACATGACATCCCGAATACGCGACATGACGTCCCGAATGCATGACAGTCCCGAATGCATGACAGTCCCGTATGCATGACAGTCCTGAATGCATGACAGTCCCAAATACATGACAGTCCCGAATACGTGACAGTCCCGAATGCATGACAGTCCCGAATACGTGACAGTCCTGAATGAATGAGAGTCCTGAATATGTGACAGTCCTGAACAAGTGACATTCCTGAATACATGACAGTCCGGAATGCCTGACAGTCCCGAATACATGACAGCTTTCTCAAGCTTTAAGGCACAAGTTTCACAATGGCAACTTCCATTCCAGACTACGCTTTCTAAAATATATACAATGTTCTGAATACAAAATTTGTAAACTCAACAAAAGACAATTCTGGAACGTCTAATAAATGAAAATGAATGCCCCGTGTTAGCATTTAGAGGATACATGTTGAGAAAACACATTCAGACTGTTACTTGTACTTTCGCAATATTGTAAGCTATGCTCTGATTACTAGGATGAAAGGTTGTCTGAGCAGATCAAATTGTTATGTCTCAGGACACCCTTATGTGTTGTCCTTAAATTACATGTGCATCAAAAAGTGATATTTGAAAAAGTTACAGGTTTTGTATTCATGTTCTTTGTAACATTACATCAGACATATATGTTCAGTTATGTTCCATGTTAGTATGCTGTAACAGGATAACAACAAGAACCATCTGTAGTTTCTTTGTTTGTTGTGAAACGCCACTCAACAATATCCCATCTACGACGGCAATTTGTAAACAATCGATTCTGGACCTGACTGTTCAGTGATTGATATCGTGAGCATCAATCCACCCAATTTGGATACGATGACATGTATCAACCAAGTCAGCGAGTCTGACCACTTACTCTGAACCTGTTAGTTGCCTCTTACAACAAACATGGGTTGCTGAAGACCTATTCTAACCCGGATGTTCATGGGTCCACAAAGGTTACGATCTAGGTATGTAATGTGGGGAATGGTTTTAGCCTGACCTTGTACGGAGCTCATGTCCTTCTTGGTGAGCTGTGGGTACATTGTGATACCTGGCAGCTCATTCTTCTGGACTGTTCTGGGCTGCCTGAAGGTCTCGGTGTGGCTGGGCGTGGCCTCCATGCAGACAATACGGACCGTCCCTGCATGGATCTGTCGCTGCTTTGTTAGTGTCTGCAATTATAGAGTGAGTGAGTGAGTTGGGTTTAACGCCTGCTTTTAACAGTATTCCAGTTATATCGTGGGGTGTCAGCTTAATGTGGGAGGAAAGCCCGAGGTGATGCAGGTCTCAGACGTTTACCACTTTGGTGAAACCCACGAGCATGGGTATGGTGCTGACAAACCTAGAAACATAATCGGGGCTAACCGAGATTTGAACCCACAATCGTAGGTTTCTGGCGTGCCCAAGGGACACAATTCTGCACAGCGAATCGCGCCACCCGTGCCCCCTACAATTATAATCTTCATATCAGGTCAGTACTTGTTTTTAAGAAGCAATATAGACCGAAGATGAGGATATTGCATTTTCAGTTCCATAAAAATAGGTATTGACCTCATATAAAATCTATAATTGTTTTATTATACGATAGAGACAAAAGTAGAGTCAAAGTATCAAACTATGTTAGCTACAATAATATTAGGAGGATCCAACAGATATCTGATTGGCTCTTGTTTGGGGAAGACACTTCCTGGTCAATACCGTAAATTATCAGACTTAAACCCGGAGACAAGATGTTTCTGTTGAATAACTGGCCAATGAATATGGTAGAAACTTAGCAAAATCTAAATACTTTTTACATTTGTATACTTATCTGCATTACTACTTAATCCATTTACTGCCTTCTTTTGTCCAAAGAAGGAAGCTATGTGAAGTCAGCAACACCTCATAACATGGGAGTATGATGCTATGAACAATATTTCAGTTATATGACGCCGTGTCAGCTTAATGTGAGGGAACAGCCAAAATGAAGCAGGAATTACATGTTTACCACTTTGGTGAAAACGTTGAATACACGTATAGTGCTGACAAACCTAGAAACATAATCAGGCTGAACTGGGATTCAAACCCACAATCATCAGAAGGCCCTGTTGACACTGGGATACTGGGACCATGGAATGCACATTAGGGATAAGTTCAAAGACTGCTGGTGTCCATGGCTAATGGGATGTTGCGAGTGAAAAGACCATGGCTACAAACCTGAGCGAGAGACATTCGTGGCAGTGAAAATGCAAGTTCACGAATCTCATTCTTCACCTTGTATCCATCCACTGTTCTGTAAGAGATCACAAAGTCATAGTATAGAAAGTTGAAGATCTTTGTAATTTGTCATACCACACTTTTTTGTATTTCTTTGTGTGTGATAACAAAAATATAAATACTGGCAAGAAAGAAATAGGACACTTCATACTTTGTTTCTTTCTTATTTTCAAAATGTTATCGGAAAAATGTACAATGTGTGCTGTATCTGTTAAGCTTTTTGTAAGCCAGTCCAGTTGTTTTTGCTGTTTAACGGGACCGTTTAACATACTGCATTATCATATCATGTTAGAATGATGAGATCTGATAGGTCCACGTGACCTTGATAAAATACTGTTTAACCCGCGGATGGGAATAAATTTCTCAGTGGGGAAATAAATCTCATACCCCGCAATGGGCAAGTCAGGCTGCATGAGGATTTCTGAGAGACAGAGTAAATCCTTTATACCTCGCTTCAAAGCCAAAAGCTTCCCCCAAACACCCATCCCCCCCTCCCCCCGAGACTGGAAGTCACTTGACATAGGGCAAGTTAACCTCAGCTCAGAGGAACAGCTGTTTCTATCCAGCTCGTGGTATAAAACCTAAAGAGGGTACATAAAATCCAATTACCCCTTGTGATTCTGCTACTACTTATATGAACTATGTCTTTTATTGAAAAATGAACATTTGCATTCAGTGGGATAATTTAATGAAAAAAGCTTTTCAGATAATATTGTTTTATACTTTTCAATTTGAAAGGGTTGATGGGTTGGTAAACCAGTTCTCACTCTCAAAAGTAACTTTAACTTTCATCTTACATCCCCACCATGTGTCAATCTTTCTGAACGGGTTACATATCGGATTGTCACCTCACCATTGTGTATTGTCCCAACAATAATGTTAATATTAATAGCAATGGAGTGATATTCATACTTTATTCAAGTGTGTAATAGATCTAAATTACCTGACTACAGATAGCAAGAAACTATTCCAAAAGTGACAAAAGGCAATTGTTGCAAGCTACTGGAGCATGTATGCACAGGAAGTAATAATCGGCTAAAAATCTGCCACTTGGCGCATGCAAATAAGTTTGTTTCAAATAGACCCTAGTGCTCAGGAAATAAATTGTTGTACTTGTAGTTCAGGAATCTTACAAAAGTGAGTGAGTGAGTGAGTTGGGTTTAACGCCGCTTTGAACAGTATTCCAGTTATATCGCGGCGCGTCAGCTTAATGTGGGAGGAAAGCCCGAAGTGACGCAGGTATCAGATGCTTACCACTTCAGTGAAACCCACGAGCACGGGTATGGTGCTGACAAACCTAGAAACATAATCGGGGCGAACCGGGATCTGAACCCACGATCATAGGTTTCTGGCGTGTCCAAGGGACGCATCTCTGCACAGCAAATCGCGGCGTTTTAGACGACTGGGCCACCCGTGCCCCTGAATGTTACAAAAACAATTCACAAAAGACATTCATAATTGCTGGTCTGTTATTGCCCGTATTCCTACCTGCTAGCTAGTCCATGTGTGGTAATAGGAAACGACCTCACATGCTCGCCATCTACAAAGATTTGGAACCAACATGGGTAGGTGTAGGTCTTCCGTATCACAATCTTGAATGGCAGCACAGGGTACTTTTGAAACTGAAAATAACAAACAGGGAATTAGTGCAAGAAACAATATATAATACTTATATATATATATATATATATATTTATAATCATGTTATCATGATTGAGTTCTATTGTTCCTACGGGTTCTCTACTGGCATTGCTAATAGTATACATCTTATACGTACTATGATCTGCTGACTTGGTTGATCAGCATCATACCTGGATTAGTTGGTTTTACCATGGTGATACCTCACGGGGATTCAAGATATTTATTTTAGGCTTGCAACACACATTAAGCTGACATGCCCCAAAAATATGTTCTTGAGTACTCCCTAAAACATTCTTGTGGCCAGCCCTGTTAGCAGAAGAGGGACACAATAGAACCAATTTAATAAACCAGACCACTTCACACAATATTTCTTTGCTTGTATGGAAAGTTGGCGGGCAGATTGGAAAACATATGGTCCACTTATATGAATCTTAGGAACTAAATTACACTCTTACATTCACAAATATTAGTCCTAGCTGATCTAAAAAAATATTAATAATCTTTGTGAAGCAATAAAAAGTTAATAATTGTAAAAGTTAATATCTTTGATAATTATTTGGAGTTTTATAATGACATTGCTGCAGACTTAAAAGGCCTGCATAATCCCTGAAATATTCACATTTCAAATACTAGCCTATTTGAAATAGGTTTTGTTGAAAGTTCAATATGGCCATGATTCTATGCACCAGGCTCTTAGTTACATAACCCCAAAAGCATAAAAGTGGACCGACCCTGTTATATTATATGTGCTGGACAGATCTTTTGAATGTAGTTCAAATACGTTTCCAACAGGTCGACCTTGGCATACAAATAGAACTGATATAAACAATCTAATGAGGAATAGCCTGACCTAATGGTTAATCTTCGACAATGAATGGTGTGACGTCCACGCAGTTGGGTCATCTTGGCACTACAAACAAAGGAAACGCGCTAATGAGTATCTAGCAACATCTAACAGCCGTTAATAGCCGAGCAAGCACCTGTCCACAATCGCCTTCGACTTCATGTTCCGATTCCTCGACGAAGAAACTGTGTTTCCCATGCAAGGAAACGGCTATGACATCTTTGTCGTTGATTCTGTATTCTTTCTGCTCTTTTCCTCCAATATCAACATAAAAATTGAAATATGTTCCCGAGGGCATGTTTAAGTCTCTGTAGTTCAAATGTAGCGCTTCTGGCGTGTAAAACGGAAGTGACATCCGTAAACTGGTAGCCGTTGTGTGTTGCTCAAAGACGGTCGCCTAGCTTACTCAAACAGCAAGTTGCCCACTCTCGGCTTTGGAAAACCGTTTCCACATTTATCAGAGATTTACTGACATCATAGATTCTTTTCATAATATTTGTATTACATCATTACTGTTTTATTGATACATAATGAATTCTTTACTGATATGGAAGAAATATGAAATCGGCAAATGCTTGATGATATTGTGTAATCAGAGACCATAAAATAGAATAAAATCTACTGAATGAAAGATAACAGTTATTGTTACCAAAGTTCAATGAACAATCACATCCTTAATCCAATTACTGATATTATTAAGTCAGTTCCAGTTTATCATATAAAATGAAAAGGAATGAGTTATATTTAGTATTTCAAATCCTTATATAATTAAAATAAATCATGAATTAATGTAATCAGCAAAGGCAGTGAGTAAGTGCGTTGTACGCTACACAAGTGAGTCTAAACTGGCGGGGAAAAAGAAAGTATACACCAAAGTTTCATGCTTGCTGAAACAAGAAAGGGTTATTCGGTGGTGATGTTTGATACGGGTATGACAGTTACATGTTGGAGCTTATACCCTGTTCACACGCACAACATTTACTAACGTAATTGATTTTGCACATGTGTAACTATACATACGTGTGTATGTCATTGTGTAAATTTACTATGCGTTCACATGAAAATCAACTTACGTGTGTAAATAAAGTATGTAAATTGTGTAAGGCACTCATATTCAGAGTTGAATGAGAAGAGAGTTACTTCACCAACGATTTTCGCGTGAAGTAACATGTGTTTGATTTAATTTGTACACAAAGTTTTCTCTCCTTGAAACCAAAAGAAAACACCTACCGCTCAAGACTGTATAAACGCATTAAAGTTGGCAACTGTTGACAATTTGGTTGGTGTTGTCAAAAGGGCAGATATTAATAAGATCACCCTCTTACGTTGATATAAACATTCAAATTGCAACATACACACACAGAGCAAATTTACATTTGCACCTGCTCCAGACGTGGTGCAAATTTGCTCCTGGTGTAAATATACACACATGAGTAAACGCGTTTTTTACACACGTATGCACATATACACACATAATGTATAAAGGCGCATGTGAACGGGGTATTGGTTTGCAATGTTTAGACGACTGCTTTCGGCCGTTTACATAATAACGTTTGTAATTTGTTTGGTAAATCCTATGTTCAAGTGGATACTTTCTTTTACCCAGCATTGTATTTTAGTATTAGATTTCCTGGACTCACTAAGAAAATTCCAGCTGTATCACAACCGTTTATTAACAGGGTAAAATGCCATGCCAGATGAAAATAAGACTTTCAATGGAATCTTGAAGAGACTTTTATTAACTCCGTGCCCTCTCTAAGAAAGAAAATAGTTTGCTATCCCGAAGAAGACACCATGCAATGTCATTATTATTTATCCATAACAACGGAATATTGTGTTGAAGAGATGAGTTGTTTGTTGTCATGGGGCCAATGAACTGTATGATCATTTTTATATGCCCCAAATGCTTTTTTCGTGCCACGAAAAGATAATTACTGACAATTTTAAGTCTATTGAGTAAATAGATTAATTTACATTGATAATGTTTAAACGGAACAATATTGAGAGATAAAAGGATGCTGTTGTAAAAAGAAAGCATTACAGCAGTATCAGTCGAGCCAACACGCCCTGTAGTGTAACAATCCATGGACACTTTATACGATCTATTATATTTAGTTTCCATGCTAAAACGAACGCTCGTCCTGCAATAACTGGTATTACACGGAGAGTTACGACTTTTACCGAGTGTAAATATGATCTACGATTAGAGTTATCTCCTCTTGGACAATTTGGAGTAACACGTTATTTCATTGGTTCAAGCGTTAATGAAGTGACCAATGAGAAATATTGTTGCAAATGTGTTAATTACGTCTAACTTGTCATAAAATCCAGATATTTTTGAGAAAAGGAGAATATTTACAAGGTTTTTAGGTGAGTGTTGTGTTAATTTTGAGTTAGTTGTTCGCATAAGTAGGAATCATGCAGCGTATTTGCGCCTGTGAGTATGATAGTTCGAATAAATGCCCTAAACATGTCTGAATTTCTTGAATAATCAGCAGGACCATCATACTGCATAGGCTAGACGAAAATACGGATGTGTTGAAATCGATTTAAGGAAAGGTCAAAACATTCTAATTTCGCAATAAACATCCCAATGTGGACATTAACAACGTTCCGTATTTCTCACTCATGGCCACATTACTGATATCGTGTTGGGGGAAGACACAAGGTAGGTGGAGTTCTGGGCATATTGGGTTATGTTAGTGTTCAGCAAGTAAGTGATATTAAATGTAGAACAATGCACGGGTCCCAATCTTGACTAGTAAGCATGCTAAGTACATACGTTAAGTTTTCTTATGGAATAGTTTAGTCCCACCTGAACCGCTGTGAACATATAGGGAAGTGATCAATTCTTATATCAGTGTATAGGACAAACAAAACGAGAGTAAACAAAAATACATTTCAGGTGTGGCTGTTTTCACTTGGTTGATATGTTTCATGTATTATTAAAATTACCACATATTTCCATGGGGCAGAGTTATATCCACATAATGATAATGATAATAATAATGATTAATGATAATATTAATAATCAGTGCGCATTGTAAGTTGCCCCTGATCCCAGGTGTGATAGGTTTTAAAAATTAATCAATCCATTCATTGACTAGTGGACCCTAGCTTTACCCATCTTTAGTTATTGTTAACTTGCCTGACAAGAGCACAGCTATCTCTTTTCCATTATTTGAAATAATATAATATGGCGAAATGAAAAGAGTCCTTCAAAAACATGACATTAAAATCTAAGGGGTACCTAGATGTTTGTTTACAAATTTGACATGAACAACCACTGCCCATTGAACTTTGACCTGTCCTTGTGCATGTTGTGAAGAGTGGGCATGCTTCAGTGATCACAATTACCTTTAGGTTGTAAGACAGCCTCAGGTCAGGGATTTTCTCTGTAAGCCATTGAAATACATTTGAATGTGGCAAAGGGGTGATAATTGTTGTCCCAGCCCTTGGATCAGGATTATTTTGTGTTTTTTTGCCAATTGCCTAAGGATAAATGGCTCCCTTTCTTACCTGTTTTGAAAAGATATCACACTTTGCATGCTTCAAGGCAACATGGCCCCTGGTTATGTAACTGTTTATGAATTAGGATATAAGGTCAGTCTTTGCAGTGCTCATTGCTGCAGTCGATAAAAAGTCCTATCCTCACTCTTCCCAGGATATAAAGTGAATCAGGAGAATCAAATTTGTGAATAATATATTGTGGACTATTTGGTTGAGACACATTGAAGAACAAAAGGTATGCTATCATGACTTACATTGTATATGCTTGTATATGAATTTTTCAAATGCCGTGACCGTGTAAGTTAGATGTTTGTCGTTTTTTCTCCTTTTATGTGATGTTTGAATTATGTCAGTAGTCTTAATGTTATAAACTGTATCGTGTTCTATTTTAGAAATGCACCAATATTTTATATGTATTTATGTGGTCAATATCTTGCTTGAGCATTATCATTAACAAGCACTCACAGCCTCCAGACCATGACAGCCTGCATGCAACCTCAAGCCAGTTTGCTTAATGTTAAAGGAATCACAACAATGCTGAGGGCAGTGTAGACTCAAAGTCACTTTAAAGATTAAAGGATTCTTGTGTTACGTTATCACTTCAACATGTTCAATTCTGTATCTATCTGATCATGGTGATTTACAATAAATTTATCTGTCTGCCATGTACATCGTAACAGCTGCTAACAAGCAAAAGATTGTTGACAAAATGAAGCTCCAAAGTGTTTGAAATGTCTTTCGATACCAATGGTTACACCTTGAAAATGTCAGCATTTGCATAGTTTCCTCCCCTATTACCAGATTGCAGTGTAAACGAAAGGACAATTCATATCAGTATTCGAAATTAATCAGGAAAGTCAAGGACTCTTTTATTATCATTGCAAAATTTTACATAAACCCAATAAAGGTCATAACATGACAACTATTTGAAATGTGTTTCTGTGCTTATTAATTATCCCATACATCATGTATTTTTCCATGAATATCATAGCATGCACTTTATTTAATGCAACACTCATCTTTTTATTTCCATGGTATCTTTTGATTTTATTATCTCGGAAAGAAAATAAATGTTTCCCAACATTCAACTGATTTCTTTTGGTAACATCTGCAGTCAACTTGTGCATGTTGTGGAAATAAGTAATTTCTGCTGATCATTTTTCCTGAACTAGCTAAAGAGTACCTTTTAACATTGGGCAGATTGCTTGAGGTGAGTGTCAAGTGCTTATTGTTTCCCTGAGGCATGCATTAGAATATAATCTTGAGCATTATCATGATTATTGTTTTGGATAATGTGATGTTCAAAATGACAAATTTCTTCAATTAAGCAAGAGCTACTCATTATACACTGATTCAGGAAGTGAAAATGGCGAGAGCTGACATTCTTAGTTAGTGCTTTCATGTTGTCATGATTGATGTTTGATTTGCATTGTGTTTTTTTCGTTTTGCTTTCATGAATGATTTGCTTGTTTCAACCACCCAGTACACAAGCCGTGTTGACAATTTGCTAAGATGGATAACATCGACGATATTGAAATTGAAACGAGGCGTCTGCTGTCGTCACATGATCAGGTCTGCATGCTTTTTCCTTCTGTTCTAATTTGTTTTTACTTAAGTGTATTTGCATATGTAGAATTGATTTATCTGCATTAGATCATGTTAGATGTAGTTTGTTGATGACCTAAAGAATGGTATAATTGGTTCTCGGGAAAGCATCTCAATAGACAAGTGATTATTTTGTCACTATTATTTAAATTTAAATGGCTTGTTTCAACTATGACTAAAATAACTCCTGTAAATATCCATACTATCAATCAAGAAGAGTAAATTGTGAATTCAAAGTGGATTAGATAACAGAGCTCCAGATAAGCTTTTGGTGTTGTGGGTATTTTACCCATACACTTTAAAATCATTGGGTATCAGTAATTCTATCTGGGTATTCAAATTTCTGTTACCCACTAGTTTTTACACATGTGGGTATTTAAGTTAAATATTTAAAAACACTATTCATCTAGTCCCTGCAAACTGGTGTCGTGTGGGTTCGAGGGTTTATAGGATTTATTAATACCATGATCATGATGATACTTCCACAGGAAAGTGTGATGGCAATTGATCATGATGTAACTGTCATCGTGGAGTTTGGCAAGGTTGACGGAATGCTCGTTTATAATTTCAAAATATGTTGCTGATTTGCTAATTGAATACGCAGGGTTACTTCACAATATTTTGATGATACGCACAAGTTTAATTTTTGTAGCATATCTGTAATGTTTATTGCATATTTGTTATGCTTGGATTTTATTTTACTGCGTATTTCTGCATTTCTGTATTTTACGCAGATACGCAGCTTATCTGGAGCTGTGGATAAACAAATTAGAAAGTAGATACAAAGGGTAGAGTAGCAAATATGCAGGTGAAATAAACATGATAAAAGAAAAAGCTGTTGATGCCAATTTGACATGATGTATTCTATTCACGCAAGTGGTTGAGAACCAGTTTACCATGCCTTTGTTTTGATAATTTACATTAATATGTTTTGCATGATTTATTTTGTATTTATGAATACATTTCCTTTGAAGCCTTTGTACTAATACTTTACATGTGATATGCTATATTACTATGAGTTTAGTTTGATGATTCACATTTGCTATCCAACAATATGTTTCTGCAATAGCCATGTCAGATTACTGTTGAATGTTATATGCAGTTCAGCCCTTTTGTATCTGAGCTCTTCCTTTGCAGTGTCCTTAAAAAAAACCAAACCCTCCTCTCCCCTCCTCTCCTCTCCCCTTCTAACTAATGGAACTGGGAGGTGAAAACAACAGTCAATCAACTATCTCCAATATCACAGATATGTACATTATCAAATAATCATGATAATACTTCAGGCTGTTGGCATCATGTCAACAGTTTAGTCAAAGGGGGATAACTCTTGAGAGAATATGAAAATCTCTTCTCTCTCAACGAGTGCCTGAAATTATTGTGTTGATTTATGAATAGAATAATAACACAAATTGTGAAATATTCACACCCAGCACAGTACGATGTTGCAAGCATAGTCAAATTTAGGACAGTCTACCTGTTGTACTTTAATCAGTTGTCTTAATTGCCATGGGGCCTGGGTCACAACATGACACTGATCGTGTTGAACCTATGAGAAAATAAGCCACCATTTTTGAGGAGGGTGCTTGAGATTTTATTATGCTACCTGGCAGGTAATGTGTCACCTGTCCATAAGATCCCATATATTTTCTTCAGTTGGTTTACGAGGCGGCCTAAAAAAACCTACTGAAATTTAAAAAGAAATATAATGACTTTTGTCATAAACATTTGTTATCAACTGTTTTACAATTAGGTTAAATGGGATAACCATGAGACTTATCACCATTGTTTGTAAGTTACAGTCAATAACACTAATAAGATTTTTATTCTAACAAAAAGAACCAATCAATTGTCTTTCAGTATTGTTTTGTGATTATATTTCTGTGATGGTGTGACCAACCAATTAGTTTTTCATTCATTGGTAGCAATACTAATCTGAAAGTTGAAAATTGTTTATGTTTTATTTCCAACCACCGACATTGAATTGTAGGCCAAATTGGTTTTAAACCAACTAGTAAAAACTAAAAGACCTAAAAGTGTTCACATCAATCTGGTCCACAAGACAGAGGGCATTAAACATCAGCCTACTTGTAGAAAATATGAAATTTCAGTCTTCCCATTGTGTGTACAATATGGAAAGTGCCCAGTGATGTGATTGGGGTATGTTGGTTGGTTGGTTGGTTGGTTGGTTGGTTGTTTTACGCCGCAGTCAGCAATATTCCAGATATATGACGGCGGTCTGTATAAATAATCGAGTCTGGACCAGACAATCCAGTGATTGATATCATGAGCATCGATCCACGCAATTTGGATCGATGACATTCCTCAACCAAGTCAGCAAGCCTTTTAGTCGCCTTTTACGACAAGCATAGTCGCCTTTTACAGCAAGCATGGGTTGCTGAAGACCTATTCTATCCCGGAATCTTCACGGGTGATTGGGGTATGACATCATAACAACAGTTGTATGTCGCATGTGAGATGCTGTAACATTAATATTATTACAAACTGTATGTTACTCCCTCTGTCAATAACTGTTGGTTTGGTGATCACTAGTAATTGTTTTTGTACTTAATCATGTTACCAGTAATTGGTGATTTACTGGTTTCCATGGTTACCCTGTATTGGTTCAGTAGTTCAATAAATCACCCAACCAGTGTTTACAGTTAATCATGAAAGTCAGGGTGTTCTTGTATATACCTAATATTAAAAATGAAACCTTTAGAGGGATCATAAGAAGTAAATACCATAGACCTAAACATGCTTAAGGACCCTAGGACCCCACTTGACTTGGAACACTGTCTACTGAGATTTCTAGACGTTTCCTATATAGGTTCTACAGTAGATTACAGACAGATTTCGGTTCATATGTCATGATATACTGGTAACTCAGTTTACAAATGACACATGAACTGTAGTACCATAAATCCTTGAGACAAGTGTTTACTCCCTGTTTATTTATTTCTGCTTGTACAAGTACATGGTCAAAAAATTCAAGTTTGTGTCTGACTAACCTTCACATGTCCACACAGTATCTCTGAACACAGTGCATACCTCTAAGCTTTATGCACCATCCAGCATCATTGGTCCCTATGTATGTAATTTGACATACTTTCTTGGGCTTGACGGGGGCACGGGTGGCCCAGTCGTCTAAGGCGCAGCGATTCGCTGTGCAGAGTTGCGTCCCTTGGGCACGCCAGAAACCTATGATTGTGGGTTCGAATCCCGGTTCGCCCCAATTATGTTTCTAGGTTTGTCAGCACCATACCCGTGCTCGTGGGTTTCACCGAAGTGGTAAACGTCTGAAACCTGCATCACTTTGGGCTTTCCTCCCACATTAAGCTGACACGCCGCGATGTAACTGGAATACTGTTAAAAGCGGCATTAAACCCACATCACTCACTCACTCACTCTTGGGCTTGACGTCGTCAATCTGGAGAGACTTTAAGACTGTGCATCCTATTACGCTTTACTGCATTATTTATGTAAAATCATGACAGTCATCAGAGACCTGAGATGACTTCATTCAGTTTGTGCCTCAATGTTTCATCTTTGTTAATTTTATGGGACAAATGTGCAGCCTGGTTTTGCCTGGTACAACTGGGTTTTCATGTCAACATGCACCTGGGCTTTCATGTCAACATGCACCTGGGCTTTCATGTCAACATGCACCTGGTGAAAGTTAAATGAAGTTCCTTAAATCAAGCCCTGCCCAAGATTAACCTGCCGGATAAATATGGGTCATATGGCAGTGTACTTCACAACTTCACAGCGGTAGAAAGTAACATTTTTAGTCCACTTGTCCCTTATTATGATAACATAAAGCAAAACCCTAAAAAAATGCAAGTTCCTACAAGTCCATATGATACCTTAACTATTGGGCAGTTTGGCAAGGACAACCGGACCAGTGCCAAATGCTATCGCTGCTTCAACATTTTGAAGAGTGAAAACGAAAGCAGTAATTTCATGTTTATTTAATTTTTTGCAACCTACCAACCATGATTTTATTTCGCAAAAAATATCTGTAAACCAAGAAATAGGAAACATCTACCCTTAATTATTATGATCATGTTAAGTATTAACATTGATATTTTATGGCACATTTGAGGAAGTTTGGTTTAGCACCTTCAGGCTGAATACATATTCGGAAAAAAAAAATTAGGTTATTTTCATGTTCCTTATCAATTGTTGCAACAAAGGCATCTTTCCCAGGCAAGTGAGTTAATCATTCCAGTGGAATTATGGAATTATATTTTGGCTGGACTAATGAGTCTATGCATAGCCCAATCAAAATCACCGTAAACTGCCATACAAATTTCAGTCAATTGCAGGATTTGCAAAGCATGTGTACCGTCAACATGCTGTCAACAGCCACTTCCTAAGTCTTTTCATGTTTTGCTCACCTATTTTGATGCACTTCGTGGTGTAAGACCCGTTTTATTACAGGCCACAAAGTTGCGACTAAATTGGTCGCCATGGCGATCTAGTTTTGTATTTTGCGACTGGTATTTTCATGTCAGTCGCCAACTGGCTCCTTGTCTTTAATTAAGTTTGGCGACTAAATATCTCTTGTCATAAGATATTAAAAAAGATCGTTTTTAATATAAGTGCGTAACTTCGGTGAAAAAATTCGATATCAGAACATAATAACATCGACAAGATCACTGTTGGCCATGTGTTCTGTTTTCGCTTTCGATATGAAGCTCCATACCTGGAATGAAGGAAGCACTTTCCGTTATTAAGTAATGCACTAACGATGTTAAGAGTTTAGTACCCACGCATGCGCTGTACGACATCCGCCCAGGTGACAGCTAAGGCGGTCGTTTCGCCGTTCAAAAACACGAAGTATTTTTCTATATTTGCGCAAGTCAAAACAACAACAAATCGTTGTCAATCGGCAAATGATGAATACCGTATTTTCTTTAGTATAGTGCGCACCCCTCTTTAGCAGATTCAGTATTTATTTATTTATT